AAAATATTGCCTGCCGAGGACTGAGTCGTGAAACACCGCATTCTAGCGGAACCATCTCGAAATTCGCAACAAAGTACGTCTCATATGTCACGTGCGAAACTAGTAAATGGTAAAGCTATCCCTGTAACAGGCCGTGGAGGCCCATAGGGTTGTGAGACGTCGAGGTTCCCATATTTTCTAGACAATCGGCTCACAGATGGTGGTGAGGTTGCCAGTCTTAAGCGCCGGCCGCCCTTTACACCTAAGAATATTGCTGGAGCTCATTTCTGTTACAGGCTGAGTCAACCCCGGGGCCATAGTGCGGCTGGAAGGATTAGGTCAATTGAAAAATTTAATGAGCTCATCGGGAATCGAACCCGTGGCCTTCCGACTTGTAGCACAATGCAACTGGTATATATTTCAAAGTGTTAAATAGTAAAGAGAAACTCCTTTCGTGTTTCTTCTTCGTTTTGGAGCCATGCCTTCTTTGCACAAAACACTTCACTGAGCTGTTACCTGATCGCTGCTTTTGTTCCCTCCACAATATTACACTAAACAAACTTTCTCCTGCCACAAAATGGCGATAGTCACGCATGAATGCGGTAAGTCACTCAGACTTCCAGTTACTCATTTCACTGCAACGTCGGGTAACTAGATGAAGTTAGAGATTAGTTACAAGCTAAGGTCGCCTTAGCATCTTAAGCATCCGTTCTACGAGATAAAATGTGAAGGTACAGATGGCCCTGTGCTTAATGATCATAGAATTTAGATGTATGGAGGAGCGGGGATGTGGCTCCACAAATTCGTAATCTCGACAACAGACGGAGGTATATGGTTAGCGCCACGTCCCAGTTGATTTGCCACTGGGGAAGAGAGGCACACGGTAACCGCTGGACAGAAGGCTGGATGAGACCCAGAGCTGGTTCGAACTCAGTGGTGAAGGCAGAAATCTCTTGTCTCCTGGTGGCAATTGACCCACAATTCTCCGGTCTTCCCTTCCGTAATGTAGTCACTAAATTGACAAAAGTAACAGCTGATGTCCTGTGAGGCAGGAAAGAAAGGAAAAGATTGTCTTGGAGAAGTGTGACAGTAAAATCACGCGTTCATCGTGGGGCATCTATTTTCCCTTCTGGGCACACAAGGCGTTGCGTGTGATCAGAAACCCTGACGTACAAATCTATGTTTTTATTCAGATAAAGCAGGACTATGGATGTCCAGAAACTAAATATTTGTTTCAATGCACCACCGTCACAAACTATTAGATCTTAACCCTGAAGTAATCACACACACCTCAGACAGCTGCTGCTAGTTCTACCTCAGTTGCTCCTTTCGATCTTATACAGAATAATATAATTACACGGTTTAGGGTATTTTTGTAAATCATGCCATGAATATGGAGGCAGTAGTTTCCTCCGAAAAGTTTTTAAGCATGAGGATACATTGTCAAACAGTACCGCAGTTGCTGCTGTGAGAACGTGAAACCTCGCGTTTCCGCTCTTTCCCCCACCCAATTCCTAGATAGTAAATAAAAAAAATAGGTCTCGAGCATTTCTTCACATATTCATCTTGATTTTTCAAACATAATCATCTTACCACTAGAAACAGTAGTTGAAATGTCGCATTAGGCAACGTCTACACGAGCGCACAAAATACGTCCGTTGTAACGAACGTACTCTGCTGAGGACATGGCAGTTTCATTGCAAACAAAAAACTACGCACCGCATTCTGCAACTGTGTGGTATCCTCAGCAAACTACGTTCGTTACAACGGACGCATTTTGTGCGCAGGTGTACATGTTGCCTTAGAGTTATAAACTTACAGTCAGGGGCTGTATATTTTGCATGGTCTGTACATATAAATGTTTGTAATTGATTCAGCACGCGCACACACCCAAACTGCATTCCAGCAAGGAGCCAACACATCGGGTGCCATGATCCACACGAATGGAACTGCTTGAGGGCCTATGCCAGCAACATCCGAGCCGTCTGCAATCGGGGGTTGCGCGTGTGTTCCGGATGGTTCCCCGTGTTGATCTGTACTCAAGACTCCCTGCATAGCTCGCATCTTGTCTGATGTGCGTTTTATTTAATGACGCTATCAGTAGCTCAGGTTATATACACCATCGGATGGCTGGATGATGGCAGTGAATGATGAACTGGAACCGACTTGGAAGCAAGCGGCCATGACTTTGATGTACCACAAAGGAATTTGCCTTCAGGGAATGAAAAAAAAAAAGTAATGCAAAACCTCAGTCAGGACGGTCGAAGTCCCAGCCGAGATTAGCAGTTAATCTGTCATCCCACCATTCGACGCTATTTGGTCTGCTGTTGACAGTGTCGTAATAGAAACCATGCGTTCTTTATTTCAGGCGTTGCGCATGAACTTTATAAGAATTCTTAGAATTTCTGCCATGAATTGGCTTACATTGCCGGGTTTTCACCGCTTCTAACATCTTCGGTCCAAACAAATTCTTCCTCCCTTGATATTTTTATAAGGTAAAATTTTTCGTGCCCTTATTTACGCGCCACGCACGGAAAATGTATGCGGGAACGGAGGTTTGCTCCACACGTTCTTCACCTAGACACCAGATTAAGGTGGCTTTCACACCATGAGAGCTTTACTCCAGACGAAAAGGCTCTCGGCTCGCATCAGAGTATGACTGGACCACGCAGTGCGAATAAGGGCTTCTTTGTTGTGCACGTTTCCATAGCAACTAGGTGGAGGGCTTCACGTAGTTAGTTCATTTCCCTAGACGATGTAAACACCAAGTGCGTTCACTGCAGAAGTCTATGGTTTCTAACCGAAATAATTCGTTAGTAGCAAGACAAGCGTTAAAAGCAACCCTATCGTAAAAACCTAGTAGCCAATTAGGATGTCACGACATGCAGTGACGTTGCGTGCAGCAGTGGATTATAAGCAGAATGTCACCGAGTACTATTGCTTCCTCTTTGGAAAGTCCGAGTTCTAAGTTCCAGCTATCCAAGCAAATGCCAGGGCACGAATCCTTTGTTCCTTGTTCACCACAAGGACCGTAGTGAGTCTCTCTCTATACCGTGAGCAAAAGCGACGTCATGTATGTCAAATCTTCCATCAAAATTCGTGCATTACTAATTCTCATAAGATTCGACACACAGATATGCGTTAAGTCACATTAAATGTACATAATCTTTATCATCATTGGCAAAACAGCCCTTCTGGAGCCGTAGCCTTCTGCAAGAAATTCTGTCAGGCTGCATCCGGTTTTCACTCCTTTGGTGTTGGCAACTATATAAATATTTGGCGGAGCAAGGTCGTCAGCCTTGCGTTCAACCACTAGCCTGGAGGGCCAGGTCTCTGCATTTATGTCTCCCAGAGGTACGGTGACCTAATTACACACCAAGGCACAGGGTTCCATTTTCATCGCCTTCTGCGACTCATGGGCTGTGGCTGAGGTATTCTAACTCACCTCCACACGGTGAACACAATCTTTAACCTAATACACATCTGCGGTTTGTGTATCTCAGAACGATAAACACGAATGTGACGCCGTGTAGTCTGATAGAAATGTACCAACGTTTCGGAGACCTGCTCTGTCCATCGTAGGGGTAGAACAGTCGTCTCCTGCCTCACCCCTCTTGTAGCAGTAGTGGTAGTTTGTAATTTCTTTAACGACACTCTCAGTAACTGTGATTACTGCGGGGTTTGAACTCTGTCTATTCAACTTTCATGACCCCTCGAATTATCTCCGGACACACCCATGAATCTCGGTGTATAATTTGGAAGTTGCAAGAGGCGTGTTTTACTCTGAAATGCCACGAGAACACGTCACGCCTAAGTTCTAAGTGTCACGTTAAGCAAGCAGAAGCCTCACGCGCCATCAAGCCACAGTCTATGAGCATTTATATAAATTCGGCAATAGCAAAACCTGAACAGCAGAGCCCACTCGAGGAATTCCTTCGGTTCAGTACAGCGACCAGCGACGAACACCTGACAATCTCAAATAATTCAAATAAAAGATGGGCAATTTACCAAGCACTCAGCTCCGTGTATGGAGTTAGCTGACGCACTATCGTTAAGAATCGTCACCGGAAATAATTGCGAGCCGGGATAGTTTATCTGTATAGCGACTATGCCACCGGCTGTACGACCTAAGAATAGGCGTTCGATTACCGGAAGAAGCAGGAGACATTTTCCATCTCCGTAGCGTTCAGACCGGTTCTTGGGTCCACCCAGCTTCTTATACAACAGACAGCGGATGTTGTATCCTAAAGAACAAGGCGGCTGGGGCGTGAACCTGACAACTCATCTCTATCTAATGCCGAGATTAAGAATGGTGGAAACATAACTCCGCTTCCCTATACGTCTTCAAGACGTGGTGCTCAGGGGTAAGTACACTTGCTTATCCTTACCATGGTACGTCGATTAACATTAATCTCTGTCTAAACATCTCAGAGGGTGCGTCGTTATCGGACAGTGAGATGCGCGGTCATGTCATGATTAGGAAGTTATAAGATTCTATTTCCAAGGCAAGATGGAACCAAAGCAGCCATACCCGAGGTCCCGTACACACAGGACTTCTCTTTCGTAAGGTTGCGAAGAGAGGCGAAGAGGGATGAAGTGACAGGAGGTTGAAGAAAACTGCATGATGAGGAACTTCATAACTTGTACCCTTCGCCAAGTATAATTAGAATGATCAAATGAAGGAGGATGAGGTGGGCAGGGCATGTAGCAGGGATGGATGAAGAGGAAGAAAGGAAACATACCACTTGGAAGACTAAGACGTAGGTGGGTGAATAATATTAAAATGGATCTTAAAGAAATAGGATGGGATGGTGTGGACTAATTGATCTGGCTCAGGATAGGGACTAGTGGAGGGATCTTGTGAACATGGTATTGAACTTTCGGTGCCCATAAAATGCTGGAAATTTCTTGAGTAGCTGCACAACTGGCGGTTTCTCAAGAAGAGCTCAGCTCCATGAAGATAGTTAAGGTTGCCTACACAAGGTATGACACAGGTTCGAAGTTATAGGAGTCCTTCCTACCTGAGGCAACCTGGATCCACCCGCAGACGTGGAACACGGTAGTGGACTGGAAGAAGAAGAACAGCAGCATGGAGCATATAGCAAGCAGGGCCAGGATGACAGACAGACCCACGAACACAGTAGCAGCCCGAAATGCTGGGCTGGACACAGTGGACAGGTCGTCTAGTCTTCCTTGACAGTCCTCGCCGCCCCCCGAGGAACTATGGAAGTAGCACCTCGCCCACAGGCCGAAGCGTCCAGGATATTCCGACTCCAGTGTGTCGCCTATCCACTCAGGGGTAACGAATGCCACTACAACAATTATGGCATAGCATATTGTGAAAATGCCCCACAACACGCCAATAGCTTTTGAGTTGCGGACGTAGTTCGTCGCATAAATGTGAGAAGACTCCACGTATTCCACTTTCGAACCCATTGTTTCGATAAAAACACTCCCACACTACACACACAATAATAATAATAATATGTACTGACAGTAATTTCACGAACTGTTATCTAAACTGAAAATCGGACATCACACTTTTATTAGAACGTTCGCAAATCGTCAACATCACAGCCTGCTGTACAATGTTCCGTGCTATCCACCTTGTTTGCTAACTTCGCTTCCACACGATAAAATGGCGACTGGCCGCCTGTTACAAGTGCTGACTTCCAGTCTGTTAAGCACGGGACCCCCTTCCACCACGTATGGGCCTGACAGGTAAGTTCCCATACCTGCCAGTAGAGAGAGACGTCGTCATGCCCCCTTTTCTGCTCTTCAGCTCTTCACTATGGACAGAAGTTACGGCAGTTATTGTATTGACTGGATGCATTTAAATAGGACTTCTGCAGCATTTTATTTTATTTACATATGGCTTATTTAACGACGTTACACTCTAACTCGGATTATATAGCGTCGACTAATAGGATAATTGATGAATAATGAAATGGAGAGGATGGAGACGGCAGTGGTCGTGGCCTAATTTAAGTTACAATAATGTCATTTGCTTGGACAGACTGAGGAAAATACGAAAAACCTCAAGATATTTGGTGTCCTGCCCGAGATTTGAAAATGGCCCTGTACTGTTGAATGATACGGTAATTGATGAAATGTAAAGGATGTGGAAGGAAACGGTCATGGACTAATTTGAAGTACCTGAAAGTGGAAGCTGTATTCTCATCCCAAATGCAGGTGAATTTTATCAAACTACATGTCACTTCCAAAAATTAGTAATAGATTTAGTTAAGTGTTCAGCTACAGGCCTGGCCACTTTAACCCCTGGGAAAGAGGCCCAGTATCATTGGACAGTAGGGCTGCGCCCTAGCTCAAGCGGTTAGTCGCTGGCTTCCCGCTGCGGCGGCCCGGATTCGATCCCGGGTCTGGTCAAGTGGGATTTGTGGTGGACAAAGTGGCGCTGGGGCTGGTACAGTAGGCCAGAAGTGGCCACAATACAAGGGTCTTAGTCCCACCCCACTAGCAATAAAAAATCATTGGACGGGAGGCTAAGTGGGCTCCAGAGCCAGTCAGACTTCCACGGTAGAGAAAAATTTCTGCCCCTGTTTGGAATCAATCTTCAGCTGTCCAGCCTTAAGCCCGTTCCTATATTGGCCAAGCTATCCCTGCTCCCAGTATCAGATACGGAGATAACATAATTTATTATGAGACTTGGTATATCTCACAGACACCAAAAATGTTAAAATATGTATTACTTTTGAATTTGCCTGGGCAAACCGAGGATGGTGACAAGAGTGCCAGTTCCTTCACCTAACATGCACATGTGATACCTTCTCAGTATAAGTCAGAGCCCTTACTACTTCTGGGAAATCCTTGTGTATGAGTCAGTTAGGGTCTATGTGCAGTCACAAGCACGCATGTGCATATCACAAAGTGAAAAATGTAGCACACTTAAGGCTGAATAATTTATGGACATTTTGAGACTATATTCAAGTTATTTTATGCAGTGAAGTCCTCCTGGGCAGTCAGCCATGTTAATGTGGAGTTGGTATCCAACATTTCAGATACCATTAGGGGATGATTTGTCCACATGCCACACATAGAGCTGTCACCTGGACAAGCTCACAATGTGCGGAGAATGGGGGGCACAGTCAAACAGCCACATACTGTCCCAGCGGTGACTACAAGGGGAAGCCGGTTGGTCATATGAATTGCTGTTGCCAGTCACTGATCCTTTCTTATGATGTTCACTTAACAATGCCACAGAGGAGCTGGGGTAGCTCAATTGGTATAGTGACAGGCTATGGGGCTGAGTGGCCGGGGTTCCATTACTTACAGGGGGAAGAGATTTTTCTCTTATGTACATTGTCCAGACTGGCTCTGATGCCCACCCAGCCTCCTATACAGTGCGTACCAGGGGCTCTTTTCCTGGGGGTGTGAAGCTGACCACTCACCATCATCTAGTGTTGAGGTCAAAAATGGTGGAGCTATACTTCCTCTCCTCCATACATCTTCATGGCATGTAGCTTAATTAATTAAGCATGGGGACATGTTTACCTTACCTTATGAATAGCTCAGATTATACAGACTGATATGACAGGATGATTAGTAAATTATGTACAGGAAAAAGTGTGGAAGGAAGCATTTCAGATCCAGTTTTGGGTATTATCCTGGCCTCTGTCTGGAGGGACTGCTGAAGACAATTATGCAAAACCTCAGGCAGGATAATCAGTATATTATTTTAGATTTGAACCAGGTGCCACATGAATGCATGTCACAAGCATTCCTAGTTGAGCCAATGTGCTTGGTTTTACCACATACACAATTTGTTAAATTTAAGTAATCCACAAGTGTGAAACCACCAAAACCTGCAAAATTACAACTGAAATCACATTTATGTGAAGATATGAAAACAAACACTGTATATAACAAGAGTTATTAATTCTCATTTATTTCACTCATGGCTGTGTCAGTTACATTTTCAGATGATGTGGCCCACAACCACACAATATCATCATAAATAAAAACCTTCACAGTGATTCTGACAAATTAAGAATTATTGTTTTCAAGGCAAGAGAAGTCAATGTGAAGTCAGAAGAACACTTACATGTCTGCCTGGATGTACAACTGCAAAATGCACATATGTTCTGTACTGCTCTCACAACATCACACAAACAAGTCAGTACACTAACAATTATTTTGGAAATTCTCCATTATCTTCAGTTTCCCCAAAAACAACATCTGAAAGACTGGATCCATTTCAATCATCAAGTGTAAAAGAAAAAAGTGTTCCTATTCAGTTGGGCCCATTCGAAAGAACTAATCTCAATCACTGGAACCTTTCTGCCTTTATACCCAATGAGAGAACCAGATCCAGTTTCCAAAACACATTTTTAGGGAAACTCAAAACAGTGAAGAAGGCCCAGAATGAAAGTCATGTTTGCTATTTACATTCACCTTGTACGGGCAGATTGTTAAAGCTTATATAACAAAAGCCAGACACTCATGGCAGTGAACATGAGTGTTACTGTCTTCTGGGATGTGATGCCATGTAGTCTGGTAAAAAGTTTTCTAACATTTCAGAGGAACTTGCTCACCCCATCTTCAGGGTGAAAAGCCACTATAAAGATGGAGGAAGTAGGTTTCTCTGAATCACTGGTCCCTTTCTATAAGGCTACATGATGTCACATTCCAGAAGACAGTAATACTCAAACTGATAGTTTGATTTTTTTACTTTCTTCAGTATAAGTTTCGTTTCTGTGGTTGCAAAAGTTTGACACAAAAGTACCAAAAGAAGACGCTGTGACATGTCCTGCCAAATCGAGGTATTACATTTATATCAACCATGACAATACAGTAAGTAGGAAGCTGAAATTCTCAGGCAGCAACACTGACCTACACTTTTCATTACATAGCTCGAGCGTGTGTACCATTAGTACCAAGATGAAAAATGTGATTTCAAATAGTCATGACAATACATTATGCAATATCTTTAATCACTTCTTCAACCTCGTCCTTTGAGAACATGTGAAATAGCTGTCCTGGTGTCATAGTCATCACTTCCACATTAGTTGAGCTTAGTTTCTCCTCCATCACTTGTTTTAGGATTGTGAGAACTGCAATGAGGGCCTCCTTCAGTGTCATCGACTAAAACAGCAAGCATAAAATTATGAAACCCAAAGTTCAGTTATTCAGTACTGAGGGGGTGGGTTACCCCATGCACCACGACCAGTTTGATCTATTGTGCGTCCCCCTTTGAATTTCTACTGTCTCCATCCCCTACCGGTACTGGTGCTTGCTATCGTTCCCTTTCTGCCAGCGAGGTTTCGGCCTTCTGCTGGCAGTGGTATCTGATAGTTAGCCCCTTTCTGTCAGTGAGGTCGTCCCTCCTCTGGCAGTGGTACCTAAGCTCCCCCATCTACCGGAGGCACTGGAAACTACTTGGGTGGGAAATTGGCCTAATTTAGCTCAGAGGTCTCCTAGAGACATGAGGTTCTTTTACGTGCCGTAAATCTACGACATGGGACCCATGGCTTAAAGTCCCTCCCAGAGGACTTGCTCCCTGAATTTTTCCACCCTTAAAAATTCCACGACCTCCGCCGGGTTTGAACCCGTGTACCTTGAGTCATGAGGTGGGAACGTTACCCCTAGACTACGGAGGCCGCTAAACCCAAAGTTCCTTCTCCTTCCATGTTAGGGTAAGAATACAAATACCACAAAGAATAACACTGAAATTCTTCTATGTGCCAGCAACAATACAGACCAACAAACCATAGACATAACTACACTCAGGCTGAGGAAAGAAATACCATGATTCAACATACACTGCATCACTCTGACTTGTTACGTTCCTCCCATCCAGTATACTTCCCCACATTTCCTTCCTACCATGTACCTATTATATTCACACAAAAGTTGGCAATGATAACCACGTGATAATTTTGCTAGCTCCAGAGGAACACAACAGTAGGCAGAAAGTGGGAAGCCTGAAGCACCACCATCCCCACCACCCATAGGAATTCTTTCCATGGACTGAGTATAAATACATGATAAGGTCACAAAACCAAATCAGCAGCACAGTTAACAATGTAACTAGAGATAATGAAAAGCCTAAAAAGAGCCCAACTGAAGATTATAACATGGCAACCCAATCTACATAACTGCTGCTGGAATATACTGGCTATGATGGGAGAACAGCAAAACATTCTTGATTTGATACTAGTACCTTATGATATGCTTCCTGCAAACTCTGCTGGGCCCCCTCACTTCCTGAGCCAATTGCCTTTGCATCAACCTGAACAAATGTTCCAGAAGGGTCCATGTGGAAAAGCTGTGGGCCCTTCTCATCACAGCCAGCAAACAAGATGGCTACACCAAAGGGACGACTCTGAAATTAAACAAAGAACATTCAAAATTGTTAGGTATTTACAGAGTATTTTAAATTATAATACAGTCTTGGTGTAAATACTGCCTTCAGGTTATGGAAGAATTTTGCCAGGATAACTCCGTCAACCCAGGGTAAAATGGTTCAGTCAGCTATCAAACAACATCAAGAAATCAAAAACTGAAGAGGAAAGACTGGGGGAAGAAATATGAGACTAGAGACAATTCTTTATTGGATTCTGTCGTAACACAACAACATAACAGTCAAGGTTAAAATTACTTTAGCTACATGTTTCGGCTTTTAAAGCCATCATCAGGCAAAACACATGATTACTATATTCACACACTATTGAACTGCATTTCAATGTGACAAGTATAGCTGGATACTTGATAACTGTTACATTATAAAACACATAGTATAAAAATACAATTATAAACTTATTATAAAACAACAGCTATGGAGTAAAATATGATTAAAATATATAACAACACAACTGGATGCATAAAATGAAAAAAAAAAAAAACACACACACACACACACACACACACACTAGACTTTTCATTCATCAGTTCTTGTGACATGGAAAGGCAGAAACAAAGAATTAGGTGGAGGAGGAGGAGGAGGAGGAGGAAGTAGAAGCAGAACCTCTGTCTGTAAAAACTGCTAATGGGCTTAGGAACTAGAGTCTGAATTTCTGGATACTGCAGCCATTTTTCTCTACACTGAACCCAGTTGCATTAACTTATTCCCCAAATAATCACTCAGGATTAATATTACAAATTGAAAGCAACAGAGAGAAATTAGGGGGCACGCGGTAGCGTAGGTGGTTGAGGGGCTATGCTACAAGCCTGAAGGCTGTGGGTTCAAGTCCCGATGAGGTCATTGGATTTTTTTGCAGTTGACCTAATCCTTCCAGCTACACTAGGCCCTGGGGTTTACTCAGCCTCTAACAGAAATGAGTACCAGGAATTAATTAAATAATTTTCCTGGGGACTAAAGCGCGGCCAGCGTTTAAGGGTGACAACCCTCAATGTCTCACAACCCTATGGGCCTTCACGGTCTGGTACAGAGATAGCTTTACTTCTACTCACAGAGAGAAATTATGGAGTTAAAAACAGCCACAGTATTTAGTCAACCACTCACTTCCATGCAGTAAAGTGGTTAAGAATGAATTGAGCTTTGCTGCTGTTTCCTTATATACTTTTATGGCGAAGTGTTTAGCCACAGAGAAGCTCTCCATGTGTTCACTTGCATGTGGCTCCTATTTAAGACATTATGTAAAACAACTAAATGAGCAGAACAGCTACAAATGCACTTGAGGCTAGCATAAAACTGTTATACCATTGCCCCTCCATCATCGTCTGAATCTCCAAACTGGATGGCCAGGTTTGACACAGCCTGTGCCACTGACTCCACGCTCATCCTCTCGTTGTAGACGAACCAGTGATTCTGGCATTCAATTCTTGCTCTGTCAATCATGGTTCTCGAGTCAGCCATTAGGCCACTTACGGCACAGCCTGTAATGACACAGCACAACATTACTCTAACTCACAGCAGTGATTATGAATTGTACTATCTTCTTGGATGTAACACATGTCGGTAACAGGATTATCAACATTACAACTGCAGAGAATGTTCCACAGACTTGCATTCAGGAGTTGCTTCGTTCAAATCTCAATTGGAACACCAGTTATCCTGAGTGAGGTCTTTCAATTTTATCTGGAGTCTTTCCAGGAAAATGTCAGTACAGTACCTCAATTATACCACAACTGCTTTCTTCCAAACCAATTCCAATTCATCTTAATTCTCTGTCATCCTACTGTCTGATGTTACATAGCCTCAATACTAAAATAATCGTTAAATAACCCACAGGAAACAAAAATTGACTTGCCAATGTGTTTGTCGACTTCCACAATCTTTTCAATTGTTGTTGGTTCCATGAGTGGCGAAGTGATGCGCTTCTCCACTGCAAGAACAACCCCTTCAGAAGTACATATTCCAATTGCTGTGGAACCCAACTTGATTGCCTCAATTGCATACTCCACCTAAAATAATTTTCTTTATTTCTATGTGCTTCTGTATACAGTACCACACACAGCACTGCAGCAAAATATCGATCAGAACTGTAAGGACCAATGTTCTTGTGACAATGAAACCTATGAAAGTTTTGGTGGGGGGAGAAAAGAAATGGTTAAATCTTACCATTCATTGCCACATTTAAGTTTAGTTCTCATCATCCTTGTTTTTTAGGTTCTTGCATGGCCATTATTTGAAAAAGGTAACTGGCATCTTCACTGAAATGCTCAATGTACTAAATAAGTGTCAAGGCCAAAGGCCAAGAGCCACAATGCTGTAACATCAACATCTCAGGTTAGCTACATCTGATGAGCAGATAATGCAGGTTATGTTAAAATAGAAACCATGTCAAACATTACGAAAAAAAAAATGCATTAATAAAATGTGGGTATAAGAACTATTCACAGTTAAGTTAAACCTGTAGTTCCCTATCAACACAAAAAGTTAAGGCAAACTTCATCCACGTATTCTTAAGCACATTGATGTCGACAAATTAGTAAGTGCAGCTTCCTGTGTGAATAAAAGAAATAACAGTAGGAAATCTAATCTGCAATTAATACGACTTTCTGTGATGTCAGAGTAACTCTGAATTCTATGCTATCTAAACGTCACAGACAAAAATGAATTAATTTATATATGAATTCTTTTTTTCTTCTTACCTGAAAGAGTCTCCCTTCTGGAGAAAAGGTATTGACACCTCTGTCATATTCAGAACGAGTAAGAAACATCTGTAAGTAAAATGTTAATTTATTTATACTTATTTTACTCTTACAAAATTCAAATATATACCTGCTCAATGACGGTACACTTGGAAACCTAACCTAGTCATTTAATTTCTTTGGAACATATAGACGCACAGTAACTATCTGTACTTAATATATAACACATACTTCACAAATTTATGCCAAACTATATCCGTAAATATTTAGATCCAGCTACAAATGCAATATCTTTAATAATACCTTACGACTTTTTCTTCGAAATAAGCCAGTCACGACAATCACAGTTAATATCACAGTAGAGCCAACACTGCGATTATAGAAACGACGAGTGACGACGACGAGTACAGTTTAATACCAATGTCATCACAAGAAATTAACCCATATAGTCCAGACTTTCCCTGTAGTATATACAACCACCCAAATTCTCGGACAGTAACAAAGACGAAAGAGTTACAAATCACTATTATTTTCAAGCATTTAGTACTGATTCACTTGAAAGGATCCTGCATTAAAATATAACTTACTTACGAAATGATACTAGGAGCTGTACTTTATGGTTGATATGGGCGGGTAACTTACTCCACTGATCTACGTCAACGCGTGTAATTAATGAAATTTACCTCAGTTGTTTATGACTTGTAATTTTTAACTGATTCTTATTGAACAAATTATTGACAACTAAATATACCTAATTTTTACTAGTTTTACGATGTAACGTAATATTACAGGTAACTGTCATCATTTTAATTGTAGTGCAATGGAAATAGCGTTCAAATAGACAATATCATTGTAATTTGCTCTTCAGTTCTGCCATAGATGTCACTGAAAAAGTCGTACTTTATTATTTCCGTCTTAAAGAGGGTAGACTGGTCGCTCACCAGAAATCCTCTTCTCTACTCAAATTAGACAGTTCTGTATAAATATGTTTAGTCACGATAGTTGCTCGAATCTTGCCTATGGATAGATTATACGTAACACACTTAATACCGCTTTATACCTAAATTCATGTGAGAGGAAATTAAGTTGACGAAAATGCCTTTTAGTGATAAAAGTGCCCTCTGACCCACAGCTCTAAAATTATGAAAGTTACATGTGATTAGTGGGGTATCTCTCATCAGGTGGGGTTTGGGTTAAGGGTCGGCTTGAGGTATGCTTAAATAAATAAAATGTCCAATGGTTAATCTAGCTGGATATATATTATCAAGTCTGCAACTCGCTGTGACCAGATCGTGACATACACCAGCAGTTGAAAATGGAGGATGAGAGAACCGCGAGTGATGAAGTATGTCCGTGGTTGGCGCCTTTGACTGAACTTGTAATAAACAGAAGGTGGACAGAAGTTGGTCACAATTTGACGTTAATTTCAGAGGCATTTTCGAAACCTGAAAATAGGTAAAGTCCTAAAAGCGGAACATGACATTCGGTGTACTTAGAATATAATAATTTGTCAAAGTGGATAACTCTTTACAGTATTTGTGTGTGTCATTTATATATGTTATTATACATTAATATTGTAATGTTAACTTTAAATTAGTGAGAGCAGTGATTCCTATTGCTCACAGGCACCTTGACCACCAGTAAATATTTACAATAATGGTCTAATTTTAGTTAACTTAATTTGTTTCTTAAGTTAAATAATTATGCTCCATTTTCGACACTCTTGTGTATTCTGACACATATTTAAGATAAATGAGATTTAGTACAATATAGTTAAATGTTTAAGCTTTATGGTGGGCCTCTTAAGCTTTCCACAAATTAGGGCTTTGAACAGGTGTTGAGAGAACAAATTTTATTGTCACCATGTTGTAAGTTGCACATAAGTGACTCAGATTTATTTTTAAATATGTTCGTATTGTATTGCAACTTATGGCCATGTGGGGCGCCATTTAGGCTTGTGCCATGGGGCTGTTAATATAAACCACACAAATTACTGCTTGTAGAGCAAGCAAACGTTATTTCTCAAGCCCCCACTGTGACACTGTAATGGTATTTCAATATTGTTTCAGGAAAAGATTATCCTTGCAGGTGCTAGAAGATTTAGGCACAATTCTGCATGTGTTGGCTGATGGTTTTGAGGTTGATTCACTACATGTAGCTACTGCTGTGACTGAAACTTTCCGAGCACTAAGAAACAGTTGTGTTTGTGAGCCCAGGATCCAGAAAGCATTGACTGAAAGAACTATAGCTGTTGATGAAACCTGCAGCATCTTGAAGTCATTGGCTTCACTGACAGGAAATCACTATAATATTACTTGTTTACAAGTTGGAACACAGTTTTTAGGAAACCTTGTTGTGAACAACAAGGGAACTCAGCCTGTAATTTGGAATAAGTGCTCAGAAGTCTTAATGTGAGTATTTTAAAGGCAATATAACAGGGTCTGAATATAATGCAGTCAGTTAGGTGATTGCAACTTGGGTATATGGACTGCATTTCCATTCTGAGGAATCCTTAACTTTCTTATCACCGAGATTGATTATGATGATGATGATAAGGAGAAGGAGGCATGATCATGAGCATCATTGTCCTCAGATGGCTTGCTGTAGATATTAAGGAATCTTTTTCTGTAGCAGTCTTTGTAAGCATCATTTGTGTTTCATTATTTTATAGTGTCTTTGAGGAATTTTTCAATTCAGCTTTTTGTGCTGTTCATTCCAGCATCTTAATGTGTCATTGTATGCTACCTATATTTGTGAGTTTTTTAATTTTCCCTGTCTTTCATTTAAACACCGAACTGATGCCAACCACTAATTTGAGAAAGTATAAAAATAATTCAGATCGTGTATCATTTGAGGTTCGCACAGCGGTGGAAAAAATAAATAAAAGTAGATAAAAGATAAAGCTATCCCAGCAACAGACTGTGGAGGCCTATAGAATTGTGAGATGTCGAGGCTCCCACATTTTCTAGATAATCGGCTCACAGATGGCAGTGAGGTCGGCAGCCTTATGCACCAGCCACCCTTTATTCCCAGGAACATTCTTGGTGTTCATTTCTGTTAGGGGCTGAATGAAGAATTTTTATCTTCTGGGATGTAGTCTGTTGAAAGTCAACCAGCATTTAGGAATAACATGTTGCCTCCATGTTCAGGGCTGAAGTATAAGCTCTGCTTGCTAACTGCTTCATGCTGATTTCTTGTTTAGCATATTTATCAACCCTTAAGATGGAGGCAACGTGTTCGTCTGAAATATCGGTTGACTGTCAGTGGACTACACAGCTGTAGCAGCAAAATCACCTGAAGACAGGAATACAGACGTTACCCAAGATGCCCCGTATATTAATATTACTGTGGATAGTATGATGTAATGATGTGGCCGTGCTGTAACTAAGTAAGGAATTGTGACTTGTAGAAGCATATTTCTGTTTCAGAACTCTAATGAAGCACGAAGATGTGAAAGTTGCAAATTATTCATCAATGGTGATATACAACATCTTACTGGGCTGTACTGACATAAGAATTGTTGTAGAGAATTCTAAAGAAATTTTGGAAATCCTGTTAGACAATGCTGCTAAAAACTCAGAGTTTGCGTAAGTTATATTTTTAGGAGGTATCTGTCCCTTGGTATTGGGTTTGTGTATCAATTGTGATTGTTTCTGAAGGAGTATAGGTTCATATGTTCACTTTTTTCAGTAGATTTTCAGCTTATCAAGAAAGTTTCATGCAAGGTCCTTCAAGAGTCTGCCAGAAAGTTGAATTTTTGATGCTTTTAAATGGAGGAAACAGGAACTTGGTATAAAACATAGATTGGGAAATTTTAAAAAGGTTGCTTAGGAGGTGAATGTGTCTTGGAGAAATATATTTCATTGAAGTGGGTACCCAAAGCAAAATTGCAGATATGCATGTTAACCATTGAATATGGTTGTGTGCAAGGGATGAATGATTTTAAAATGTGTCCCCTAAGAAATGTAATATGACTGCAGTTGTAAAGCCTTTTTAACTGAACAGATGCTAATTCTGATTATCCTGACTTCCTTATCAACTGCGGTTATGTGGCACAGAATTTCTTGAACAAGAAATAATATATAAGATCTGGGGTTATAATATATAAGATTTGGGGCTGTAATTGTGGTGACTGTCAAGATTACTGTCTGCTAGCAAATGAGACCATACAGTCTGGTAGATCATTACTGGTGTTACAATGGAACATGCTGCCTCCATCTTCAAGGTGGAAGAGTTACTCTTTGACTGTGAAGTTAGATGCAGCTCAGTGGTGAGTAATATGAGGGAAATGTTCTGTTGTTATGGAACATGAAAATTCATAACACTCATCAGAAAATGTTCCCATTGAACCTTGTCCTGAGTTAATTCAGCCTTGCAAATACTGGGATATTACCTTGATTATGCTATGACCCTTCCTTGCAAGTCCTTTCGAATTCATCATTCATTCATCCTACCATTTGACATCGTATAGTCCATTTTCTTCTCAACGTTGATGGCACTGTAAAATTACTCCCTTTCCCTTCCAGCAATATATATATCACATAAGAGTTAGTTGCACAGCCTGTCCATCCTTCCAGGTTGTATGCTGTTCAACTGTTGCTGTCAGGCGTGGGATATTTACCAAAGATGTATGATAAAGTTGACGTTACATACCGTCTCCTCTTACTTGAGACTCTGCAGTGCATGGTCACAGACAGTGACACCTCTGTTCCTGTTGCGTCAATCAAGTTCTTGGTCAGACAGTTCAAAGATTGTTCTGACTGCATTATGAAGACCTGTGACAAGTATGTGGAACGTTTGGAACCTGAAGAAGTGACAGAACTTTTGCAACTCTTGGCCTCTGCATCTGCCAAGAGCAGATATCTCTCAGAGTTGCAGAAGGATATGTCCCTTCTCATTACATGTTCAGGTAAGCTCCAGTTTGCTGTACAGTATTTGTAAAGTGTATGGGCAGTGTTCAGAGACGAACCTATTCAGTGCGGCCCCTGAGTCTGTAGTGTTTATCTCTGGAGAGGTTTGAGGTTTTCCTGGCAGTGAATGTGAAGGTTACTCTTCTGGGTTACTTCATTATGTAGTCTGGTAGAGAGGTACCAACATTTCAGAGAAACCTACTGCTGACCAGGTGTTGCCTTTTCTCAGTACTAATAGCATTATCCCCAATAGAGCTGCCCACTCTGTAGTACCAGGAATAAAAAGACTCTAATTCCCAAACAATAAGTTAAAAGTCTGGCTGCCAAACTCTTTAAGTAAGAGGAGATATAAATCCCCTGTTCTTAGTCAGTAGTGGTTAATTTGACTGGTAATCAGTTGAGTAAATCATAAACATGGTTTGCCAGTACATTATTTTTCTATGAGCAAAATTTTTCTATTCATAAAGTGACTTGTTACAGGCTTGGCAGTCGGGGTTCAATTCCTTGTGTAGTGATGGTGTTTTTCTCTTTGTCGTTATGTCCACAATGGTTGTGGAGCCTGTTCAGAGTTCTGTTCTTTTCCATGGAGATAAAGCAGCTCGAGGGTGAAACTCGTCTCCTCTGGAGTCTGAAATGTGTTGAGATGTACTTCCATTCCCATGCATCTATGCTGTGATGATGACTTTATCTTGGTTTTGTATTGCAGCATTGCTGACGAGCATGCACAGCCTGGGCAAAATGGGAGAGAACAATTTCACATTGATTCAGAAGTTGTCTGACTTGTCAGTCTCCACACAAAGGAGTGACATCCGTGAGCACCCTGCATTTGAATTCAAAAGCTATTTAGTGAAACTGCTGGGTAACCTCTGCTGGAGACACCCAGAAAACCAAAATCAGGTCAGAGATTGATTGGTTCTTACAGTATTCATTTTGAGAGCAAGAGACAGAGATCCATGTTAAGTGGGTCCCCTGCCGTCACAGCTTGATATGTCTGCAGGCTGCAGATGGTCTCCAGATATAGAGAGTAGGTCAAATAAGTGGTCACAGGTTGCCATCAAGGGTTGGTTCTCTAGGCTGAAGGGATTGGTTGGGTTAGCGATCCCACACTGTAAGAATGTAGCATATTGTGAAATATCATGCAGAATTTTGATTGATGCCTTCAACGTATGTATGAAACAGAATAAGGGTGGGGTAGATTCATCTCATTCAGGATAGGGGCCAGTGGCAAACTCATGTGGATGCACTAACCAGATTTTATAAACTTCTGTGAATTTTTTTGCTAGTTTTGACATGTCACTTGCTTGCAAAGCAAGCCCAAGTTTGTTGTCTCATGTCCCATGTTTACCACCACAAACTGTTGCTTTGTGTAACCAAATAAATTAGTTTCCAGACTGTTCTGAAAATATTTCTTAGTAATCAGTGTTGAAGTTGTATGGACTTGTTATTGCAGAAAAGTGCATGCTCTTTGTTCTATTTATTTCATGTAAATGTGTCAGAAAAGAGCTTGAATTTACCTAATGGCACAGTACACAATATCTTTGGACTGGGTGAGGAAGAAATGGATTTCTGTATTTTGGAACATGAAGTCAAAACTATGTCTCTAAGAAACATTGCTGATAAAAGCAGAGTGGTGAGAACCGCCACAGGTGGTGTACAAGATTTATGAGAATCCTGTCCCACGTCGTGTGGCCTGGAGTGATCTGTTCCACACACATCTGTTCCTCCCTAGTTTCCCCATTTATCTTCCCACTTCTCTGTGTCAACTGACGTTATTGTGCTTTTTCAGGTTCGAGAGCTGGATTGTATCCCTGTTCTTCTGGACTGCTGTAATATCGATGCAAGAAATCCATGTATCCTCAGCAACTTACATTTCCTTTACAAATATTGTAAAGTTTTATCCTTTATTGCTTCCTTGGTCTTGATTTGAGGCAGCCTTTTTAATTAAGTCTGTGTAATCTGTTATTTCTCAGGGATAGAGTGGCTGGGGCATGAAGCTGACCACTTGCCTCCATAGTGCTGAGGTTGAGAATGGTAGAGCTCTACCTCCATATGTCTTGAGGGTGTAGTACTTAATTAAGTGCAGGGATAACTTTACCCTTACCTGTTCAATCTTTCTGTTTAATAGCATATAGATTTCCACAGGAAATGCGTAATACCTTTCATGATTCGTAGCGCGAGGAACATTCATTGCTGTTATTTGTAATTGGTGATCTGGGAATAAGGCACTGGACTTTTATGTCAAAGGTATTTGTCTCCATATTGGGTGGAACATGTCCAGTTTTTTTTGGCTTGCCTTTTCCTGCCATCATAGCTTCATTATTGTGACATCAGTTACCCATTATTGTTTACAACCCAGCTCTAGCTGCAGATACCTTGTCTTAGCCATAATTGGTATCATCACATATGTAGGAGTGACTGTAGGCAGTGTATGGATTGGTGAAATGGATTTATTGACCACTTGTACCCACCACTTGGAACCACAAGTAATTACAGTGCTATTGCTGATCTCCCCAATTTACAAATCACTACACACTAAGTCTTTTCTCTGCCTGCTGTGGCTCCAACAGCCATTCCGTAGCAAGCCTTTGATTCTCACATTGGAGATTCTTTTGCTTCCTGTGCTCATGATTCGAAAACCAGACACACAGCAGGAGAGAATACAACGCACCAACTCAAACACACATGTGCATTGAGGGGACTTATATATTAACAGCATAGGCAACAGCAGAAGACAGCAGTTTTCTTGCCTAGTAATTTTAACACCTGATGATGACCACATTGGTTGAAACATGTAGTGATAAACTTTTGAAGAGAATAATTTTTAATGAACTTTATGGATTATAGTGTTGCATGTGAGACTGTAAAAAACTAATCGACACTATGGATAGCCCAGATATCGTTGACGTGTTCACCAGCCACTACCAAGCAGTGCATATTCCTTCTCGCCATTGTTGCATAGCAACGGCACTAAATGCTACAGTGTCATTAGCCATAACTGCAGCAGATTAGGCCATGTCACTTCATCATTTGTTGCTGCTTGAACTAAGATGTGAGGTAAGGTTACAAGTTTCACATTAACCACAACAACAACCGATGTTACTTACCTCATGCAAGGCCATGCCATAGCTCATGTGGTTAGTTGCTGGCTTCCGGTNAGATGTGAGGTAAGGTTACAAGTTTCACATTAACCACAACAACAACAGATGTTACTTCTTATCTTATGCAAGGCCGCGCCATAGCTCACATGGTTAGTCGCTGGCTTCCCATCGCGGCAGCCCGGGTTTGATCCCGAGTCTGGTCAAATGGGATTTGTGATGGACAAAGTGGTGCTGGGGCAGGTTTTCTCCGAGTACTTCGGTTTCCCCTGCCAATCTTCATTCCGCCAATTGCTCCACAATCACCCTCACCTATCATCTGGGGCTGGTACAATAGGCCAGAAGTGGCTGCAGTACAAGGGACTTAGTCCCACCCCACTAGCAAAAAAAATAATACCTCATGCATCTGTTCTGCATGAAATGGCATTTAGTTATTTGATGATACTTGAACTGAGTTCTGAGGTAGTTATATAAAGATTTGTCATAATAGTTTCATTTGCCATATGTCTCGCAATACATGTGCTAATCATATCAAACATATTACATTTAATGCATATGTGCTATTTGCTTGCCTCATGAGGATGTGTGTAGTTACCTAATTCATTCTGTCCAATGTCAGCCCCCCGAGTGTTATAATTATTCTTTTNTTGCCATATGTCTCGCAATACATGTGCTAATCATATCAAACATATTCCGTTTAATGCATCTGTGCTATTTGCTTACCTCACGATGTGTGTAGTTACCTAATTCATTCTGTCCAATGTCAGCCCCCCAAGTGTTATAATTATTCTTTCCAGCTTCCTCTCTTCTTCCTTTAAATTAATATTTTCATTTTTTGGATTTCTGTTGGAACTTTTCTTTCAACACTCAACTTGCAGTTTCTTCTGTACAGTGAATCCCTATTCAATTTTTGTTAGTTTAAAGTTTTTCTTCATTTAACATTCAATTACACTGATACCAAGTTAACAATTTTAGTGATAAATTACCTGCATTCAGATTCACCACTCCCCAAAGAAACCTTACATGAGGGGTTTGACTGAAGTTTTTATGCACTCCATCATTAGCAAAATTTGTGATTCTGTTATTATGTTATTTCATTTCTAATGTGATTGAAAGAATCTTATCTCTTGCTTGCCACATGCAATACAACAGATGCCATTACAACTGTGCTATTCCTTGACGCAACTTACAGTGATAATGCAGTGGGTAGTGCTGGCAATTCGGAACTTGTGTGAGAACAACTTTGAGAACCAGGCTGTGATTGCCTCCATGACTCGTAAAGGGACAGTCGATTCCTCTGTTCTCCGTGAGATGGGTCTCGCTCTGCACGCAAGCGATGAGAGCAAGATTATTATCATGCCTCGTGACAGCATGTCTTCTGTGTGATGTCATGGCAGGGATCAGATAGTGACTGGATAATGCTCCACATGTTAGGTATTTGAATCACTGCCTACCAGATTGGTTAGCCATTATGAGACAACAGTACCAGTATACATGAAATCAGAGAACATTAAGTATGTGTGTGTTTGTGTGCGTGCAGAATGTTCGTAAAGTCTGGAATAGAATGCGTAAGAATTATCTCATTCTGTTTATTCACTGGGTTGTGATACATTAAAGTTGGAACTTCTGAGCCATTCCTTCTTGGATTGTCTCTTGTTGCCAGCTTGGTCCATTGCAGTCCTGCTCTCCCTGGCATTTAACAGCTTATGTCTGTGCTCACACCCTGTGTCCATGCTGACTGAACTTTATCTTGCGGAATGGAAGATAACTTCTTTCAGCAAAGTCGCACACAACAGTGTACTCATTTATATATATTGAGGTATAACTAGAGTTCCCTTTGGAAAGCATAGTGTTGTGTTGGTATGAATGAATGATATAGTTGAACGTGTAATTTTTCAAAGAAAATGTCAGCATTTCTTCCATTGATTAAGTAATAGTTTCCAGTGTAGGATTTGAATTCTATCTTCTGGGATATAACACCGTGTAGTCCATTGAAAGTCAACTGACTTTTGGACAAGCAGATCACCTCCGTCTTCTGGTTGAAAGAGTAAGTCAAGCAAGAAGCCATCATGAAGCAGGAAGCAGGAAGGGCTGCTTGGCTTACACTTAAACCCTGAAGATTGAGGTGATATGTTTCTCTGAAATGTTGGTTGTCTTTCACAAGACTGTTAGGCATTATGTCCCAGAAGGTAGCTGTGTCCTAGGAGTTAACAAGATTGACGTAGTAAGCCTTATAGTATTATTGTAGTCTGTTAATGGTAGATTTTGCTTGGGATTGCCATACAATGTGCTTATCTTATGAGCAGGAATCAGGGATGCTGATATTTATGATTGGTAGGATGAATCTGGTAACTGTCACTATTTACCAGTTTTTGATACAGTGTGTTTGCTAACACACGCAGGATTTCACTGTATGTTAACATTCAAGTATGTACCAGGAGGTACAGTGAAACACTACAATATGCATAATTGTGAACACAGTGAGAACATGACAATTCCTGTCCCTACAAACAAAGCAGAAGACATCACATTCTGTATGGCAACTCTCTGAAGATTGTTCAGAATTTTTTTGTGTTAGTTAAAAAATGGATTTTGCAAGAGGTCTTGGCTCTACCCTCAGATAATACCTTCACAGGATCCTGCCTACCCTCCCTGGTGTCACATGTAGGGGATGGCGCATTCCAGTTTCCAGGTTGAAGTAAGTAATAAGTTCTTCCTCTGACATTTTATCTGTATCTGTGTCTGTGATCTGTTCTCAGTTAGGTGCAAGGTGAATGTGCTGCATTTCATGAAAATCAGGATAACTAGAAGGGAACACATTTTTACATACTCTAATCAAGAAAATTAGGGGGAAAGTAGAGTTATGCTCTGTATGTTCCCACTTTCAACTTTTGAACTCGGACCAAATTTGGTGGAGTTAGTATAGTGACGGACTACATGGTGGACAACAGAGGGGTCAGAGATTGAGCCTTGATAGGGTCAAGATTTTTTTCTCCGGGTTTTTCAGACAGGTTCTGGGGCCCACCCAGCACCCTATCCAATGGGTACTGGGGGCTCTTTCCCCAAGGTTAAAGCAGCCAGGATGTGAAGCTGACTACTCACCTCCAACTAGTGCTGAGGTCAAAGAAACTTGAATCTATACATCCACTTCCCCATACTCCTTCATGTCGCAGGGACAACTTCACCTGCTAACCAAATTTGGTTATGCCATTTGAAGCCATGACCATCTGATACTTTCAGTTTTCTGTAATCAGTAATAACATGGCAGGTGTGTGAACATGTGAGGTGGGATAGGGCACTAATGCTACTTAATTTAGGGTCATGAAGTAATGGATGGTAATAGATCTTCAGTGTAAAGTGCTAAACAACAACATTGCAGTCTTGCAAAGTATTCCTTTAGGTTTCACTTAGCAATAAATAATGAATTACTGGAGCCAGACAAGAGAAATTTGGGGAAGTAAATTACAAACGTTCTTGTTACACTGTAGAATATGGAGGCATTGACTTCCTCAGAGCTTTAAATGTGTACAGTGCCTTACAGCTTAACAGGTCTCATTTATGTTGCCAGGGGATGCTGCTTGTCACAGCACTTCCTTATACTAGACTGTTGACAGAAAGAGCTAGAACTGCTCAACTTTTACAGTAACCAGAATGTTTGGGGTTCGATCCCTGGTAGTGCAGGGATTTCACTTCTGCTGCCTGCCCTCATATTAATTGGGTTGAGAAGCTCACCACTTACTCCAGTTGGTGCTGAGGTTAATGTTACCTTAGCTCCTCCCTGTGTCTTCATGGTGCGGTATTTAATAACGCAGAAAAGGATGCAAAGGAACTTAGCCATCACTTTTGAAGATTGTGTTACAGCAGAAGTATGAACAACACTGTATAGTCGGTAAGCAGGTTGAGATGCAGGCAAATTTGTTGAGTGTTGTAATGTGGAAGAAACGTTTCGAAAGGTTCTGTGTTTGTTCATAGATGGCAGCGAGATGGTACGGTAGTTGGTTTTATGAAGTTCTGTGCCTCAGCCATAGATGGCAGACCTATGATATGTGAATAAGCTCTAAAGTTTGAACGATGGTAATTAGCACAAATCATCCTGCTTTTATCTAAAGACACCGCCCTCTTTATATTTTAAAACATAACGGTTTGGAGACTGGATTCTATTTCCTTCAGGTAAAACCTAATCAACAGAGCTAGGCCCTAGGTCGCTATATCGATTGGGCACAACTGAATAGGTTTTACGGAAGATGGAGACAAAATCCAGTCTCCGAAACGTCGTGTTTTGAAATATATATAAGACGATGTATAATGTCCATAAACATGTTTGTATTATAATTGCTTATTTGGGGGAACATATTTTCTCTGAAGTAAAAATGAGACACGTTTGTGCCTCAGGATTCTGCATGTCGTAGGCCACACTGTTCTGTTAATTTTATGTGATGTTATGGTGTCGATGTATATTGTGGTTATTGCCGACGACTTTTCGTCGGAGGCACATGCTTCCTCATTCTTTTAAGGCCGAAATGTATAAAACGGACGATTCTATGTGTACACATAAAGTTATCTGTCCTGCACACTTATAATCTGAAGATGTTGACAGCATGCATGAAAGACTAAAGCAGTAACTATTATATTGTCAAAGCTAGACGAAACAAGTATGAGAAATATCTTAAAGAAATAAGTGGAGGGAATGGACTCAATTTATACGCCTCAGAATAAGGTCTGTTGGTGGGCTCTAATGAACACAGTAATGAACATTCGGGTTCCACAGAGGGCCTGTAGTAGAACTTCTGAAGGAAGTAGTTGCTGTATAAATGCATGCATGGCAGTACAAGACGGAAACACTGTCTGTATAAGGGAAGGGGAATGGTGACGCGGTGTTACGTTACGCAACTTCAGCTTTCAAAACTGCAATAAAAATTTTATTGTGGCCCAGTACGTGAGGTGTAAGCATTAGAATGAGTATATACTGTGAACACAGTAGCATTATGAAAAGTTGTGATGCTGTGTTATCAGACGTTTCGGAGGAATGCACTGTCTCCACCGAGTATAAGAGTAGGCCAAGAAGCAAGTTGAGTAGTCTGCTTGTTGGCTTATCAACCCTGAAGATGGAAATAGGACGTTCCTACTGAATGCTGAATCAGACTACACGGCGTCACATCTAAGAAGAAAATTCTGTCCATAGTCACGGCCGTAGGAATCTCAACTCCTAAAAGTTATAGGCTTTAGTAACTCTCTGAAGATATACACATATGTAAGGGCAAGAGTTGGGCCGCGCCATAGCTCAAGCGGTTAGTCGCTGGGTCTGGTCAAGTGGGATTTGTGGTGGACAAAGTGGCGCTGGGGCAGGTTTTCAACGAGTACTTCAGTTTCCCCTGCCAATCTTCATTCGACCAAGTGCTCCACAATCACCCTCACCTATCATCTGGGGCTGGTACAATAGGCCAGAAGTGGCCGCAGTACAAGGGACTTAGTCCCACCCCACTGGCAATGAAAAAAAGGCGGGCAAGAGAGTGTCTATTCTGTGAAGCCATTTATTTACCCACATGGGTATCCGTGTACTGTGTGCAGGACGTTTATTTTATAGGTCTGAAGGTTTGTGACCAGGGTGTATTACGAGCCTAGAGGTATGTCGTCTTTCAGTAATTTACCGAAGGCCTGCTGCTTCTGATAACTAGAACTTAGCCGTATTCTTCACAAGTACGCCTATCTTGCGGCAGCCCAACTCACTCCTCTGTGAACATGATGTGCGGAGAGTAAGGGGTTAGCCATAAGACGCCCAGGATATTACAACATCTTGGAATTAACGAAGAGTGAGTTACGGTGTAAGCCGTGCCCAGACGTTTAGTCGCGGCTTCCGACCGCGCCAGCCCAGGTTCAGTCCCAGGTCAGATCATGTGTGATTTATGGTGGAAAAAGTGGCCCTGAGGCTGTTTTCCTCCTACTACTTCGGTGCCCCTGCCAGTTCTCATCCCACCAAGAGCTCCAGTCTCTTGTAGCAACCGGGGCTGGTACAGTAGGCCAGATAATGGCCGACGTACCAAGTGGACTCAGTCCCACACCGCTTCACAGTACGAGGAGGTTTCAAACAGCATATCTACTTGAAGTGTGGCAGTATCAGTGCATGCGGAAAATGGTGATTTGCGCTTCCGTAAAACTGCAGAAGACAGAATTATCGCGGTTAAATTATACTGCCAGCTAACGAACATATAATTCGTGTGGGAGGGAACAGAAATGTAAACAAGTTTGTGATAAATCCCGAAGGAACGAGACCACTTAGGAAACCAACGCGCAAATATGAGGATAATATTAAAATGAATCCTAAAGAAGCAGGATTGTGAGTGTGGAGTAGAGTTCAGGGTAGGGCCCAGTAGCGAGCCCATGTGAACACGGTAATGAATCGTCGGGTTCAGTAAAATTCTTGGAATCTCTTGACTGGTTGAGCTACTTTTAGTAAGTGAGGTAGGACGCGCCTCCATGGAGTTAGGTGGAAGAGAAATTCATTAAATGTGAGAGCTCAGAGGAGAATCCACGTCTTCAGGTAGCAACAAAAACTTTTTCGTCTCTGGTGGTCCCTTTGTAAGGTTATTGGCCCAGCTTCATAAATTGGCAGTGCAGGAAGGCACTGGGCCCGAGCGAT